CTGTAGCACTTTTCCCCGTCGCATCTTCCTACCGCCTAAAGGCCATCCGTTCTTCGAGATGATGGTCTTATTCATCTCCTGCGTGAGGGTCAGAGGAGGCCTGGGAGCATGGGCGACATGGAATCAGAATAGACTTAAAAAAAAAAAAGGTGTATGCTTTTGACATTACTGTCTCAGAAACTCACAGTGGCAGTTGTAACTGGTCCTATGGAGTCACTATGTATTGGCCTCACATCCATGGCAATGAGTTATTACGGGTTACTCTCATTATGCAACTTTCCTCATATGAATATGATTAGCCAATTAGATGATCAGGTTCCAGAAAACAAGAACTTTGTTGAAATGCCTTTTGCAGTGTTAACTAACACATAGTAGGCCATGCATAACTTATTTAGAAAAAGGTCTGCATCTCTGTTCCAGTGACAGATGTGGTGATTGTTGGTGCTGTAGGGTCAGTCCTGATTCATACGGACTCCAAGCGACAGGGTAGACCTGCCCCATAGGGTTTTCTTGGTTACAGTCCTTATGGACACAGGCCACCAGGGCTTCTCCTGCACAGCTGTTGTTTCCAAGCATTTGACATCCAAGTGTTTAACCACTGTGTCCCCAGACATCATTTTTAATTATTTGGGAATTTCCAAATCTTTCATCTTGCTCTTGGAGATCCACATTAAGGAATCTGGAACGGAGTTTTTCTATTTCTGCCTGCTTGTGTTTCCTCTCACCTTACTGGGGAGGCCAAAGAGGTGGGCACGTCTGAAATCACTTAATAGTTACTTTTAGCTGCCTGTTAGATGTCTGGCATGAGTACATTAGCTATCTAGATTACTGTACTTAGAGTTGCTTAATGGAAAGGCTCTGGATCATAAGGAAATATCAGGGTTGGGGTGAGAAGGAGACCCAGAGATAGGGGCTTCACATTTGCATTTTCTTTTAAGGAATTTTCATTCTCATTCGGCTGACTCTGGAATTTCAGTTTAGAATTGGTACCTGGCCGGAAATGCCTATGAGAGAGCTGTGGTTTAGGCTTCAATTCTAAAAGACAGGTGGATGATTTAGCAAAAGTGTTGTCTTTATTCCTATTTTATATTGTCAATTTCCTTAGTTTATCAGAAATGTGTGTCTGTCTGTCTGTTCCTATAGTTATCTTTCTCTATAGGAAGACAATTTGTTTCAGCAGACTGTCAGACTATTAGCTGATCATTTCTAGGATAATAGCCTTCAGTCTGTGCTGGACTACCTTGACCTGAGGCATGGAATTCATTGGCCAAAATTATATAACAGCTGGTATAAAAGCACCACTTTTAGTATTCTAATCTTTCATATTGTTCCTGATGTTTGCATCGAGTAAGGAATGCAAAGTAGTAGGGGATGAGAAACCTTATATACAGACAGAAGGATTTTGGTTAAATCAATAAGGTTTTTTGGCTTTCTTTCTTTTTTTTTTAATTACAAAAATGATATATTACACTGAAATAAGAGCTTGGAATTTGTATGTAAGTGATTTATAAATCTGCAGTATATAAAAGAGAGAGCCCTGGTGGCACAGCGATTAAGGCTCTTGACTGTTTAGCAGAACGTTGCTGGTTCAGTCCCACCAGCTCTGGGTAAGAAAGACCGGGGTCATAAAGATGTGATTCCTGAATCCCTTGGAGACTGTTTGACTCTGCCCTAGAATGTCGTTATGCGTTAAGATCGACTTGGTAGTGGTGTTTTTGTTTGTTTGTTTAAATATATATAAAAGAAGACAAGATACAAATCGTGTTCATGTAAAGAAGAAAGGGTTGGTTTAAAATGGGGGGAAAGTGTTTTAGAAAAACTGTCTTGAACAGTGGAGGGTGAAATGCTATTTGGAAAATGGAGGACGTAAGTGGAAGATTTAGTGGATCGGTGGACAGTAAGATTTTCAGTTTGTGTCTTGGGCTTTCCATGCTCATGCTGACTCTTGGGTTGGAAACGTAGCCGCTTTCAAAACATAACTATAAAAACAAGAACAGAAATGTGCTTTCTCAGGTAACCATTTTGTTTTCTTTAGGTGTAAAAGCTTGAACATAAGTATTCCACTTTTAGGAAGAGGAGGAAAAATGAACTTCCTTTCCTAGCACTTTGGCTATTTGTGGGGTTGTTCTTGCTCCAGAAGTGGGACAGACCAGCGGCACCATGTATTCTCTCATGCCCAGGATTCTTTCTTGCATTGGAATGTAATTGTTCCTTAGCAAATATTTGCAGTCCAGAAATGACTTTTATTGAGCTTGATTGAATTAGGGGTATGTATGAAAATGAGTTAGTTAAAGCCATTATCTAGAGAATTGATGAAAACATCAGAAAAACAGTCATTCGTGGGGATGAAATATTCCCCCCAATCAGTGGGCCCCATGGTCACTTTGTAGCCCCTCTTGCGTGGACTAGGCAGTAGTGGCAGCAGAGTGTGAAACACAGCATGGTGGCAGAAAGGGGAGGCTTGACATGATACGCCTTTGAATGCTGTCCTTGACGTTAACTCTAATTGGGAGTCTGGGAGTCCGCCGTATCCTAAGAAGCGATGCCTCCTCACCTTTTCAAGTATCATCGGCTTTGTGAACCACAGCATCCCAAGGGGCAGAGCGTGAGCTGTGCCAGAAAGCCAGTTGCTTTAAGATACTTCAGTGGTGGATTCGTGTCCTAAACCTGTAAGATCTTGAAGAGAGAGAGAGCCCTCAGATGCCAAGTCAGATATCCTATTTGTGGTCAGAGGTACATGATAAACTATTTAATAGAGGGCCGTGCCACCTGCTCTGATGCGAGTTTTCAGAGAGAATCCTGAACAGTGCCAGATCAGGCTTGATTAGGTATATTTCCTGTGGGAGGGAGGAACTGTCAAGGGTGGGAAGCAAAGGCCTGGAAAAGGGAAAGGAAGGTTCTTAATGAAGCAGCAGGAGCTGAACCATGGCAATTGAGAAATCAAAGCCTCTGTGTGGGAGAGAATGAGGCTGGGTGGAAGCTGAATGGGGCCCAGAGCAACAAACAAGCGCGGGTGACTCACGTGATAGGCTGACCGCCGGGCTCCTCCACAGACACATTCAAGTCTGCTCAGCTGCGTGTGTCCACTCTTGAGTGCGCCCTGGGACACAGTGCACAGGCAGCCCTTCCCCTCACAGCAGACCACTCTGGGAAGTGCAGGTAGTTTAAATGCAGAACAGCTAATGCTAAAACCGCTTTTCTGAAGCTACTCCTGTTTGTAGCAGTCTCTGAACTCCGGGTGCAGTCTTGAAGTTGGGCTCTCAGAGAGCTCGAAGGCGCTGTCTGTGTTGGGTGGCATCTTCTGCCTGGAAGTTGACCTATGCTCTGCTGTCAGTCTCTAGCTTCTTCCCAGCCACCTAAACCCAGAATCATGATTTCTTTGTTAGCCTGAGTTTTTCAATACCAATCTTGGTCATAGCATAGCCAACGTTTACTTATCAGCTTTTTCAATGCAGAATTGTAGCAAATGGGATAAATTGTGGAACAGTCATCAAATTAAGGTATAGATATAGTTTGTTTATACTTTTGGATACATATGTAAGGTATCTGAAAGTTTATTTTTAAGCTTCAAAAACAATTCTGCATATAGGATATGTTAGCAGAATTGGAAATTGGAAATGTATTTATTTCTCAGATGGCATGTTCTCACTTTGCAGAATAAACAAATCTTAAAGCCAAAATAGTAGTCAAACCTAGACTATCAAAATTAATGGTTGCCTCTCACAATTTTGGTTGTACAGTTTATATCTATTTTTTTATATCGATTACTTTTGTTTACTTGACATTTACTTGTATTGTTTACTTCATGTTTTTGACTCATTTATTTGACAGTAAATATATTTTAATGATTCTATACAGTCTTAAAAGTGAAAATTTATTTTTTAGTATTTAGTAAATGTCATTATTATATTTAGTTTTTGAGATTATTTAGTCTGTGTGATTGTTTTAGAACAATAATGATGTTAGTTGCCTATTTCATGATAATTAAGAGTAGACCTTCATACCGTTTATTTAGTCAGTTGTGGGAATTGTACACTCTCTTCATAAAATGTAGGAACAGGCATTTAATGAGGAAAGTATTCATATGTGCTTTTTGTAGTTACTTCAAAGATCTAGATTTATTCTTTCATCTATAGCCCTTGTTTTAAAAATAAGGATGAAATGTGTAGTATCTTTTGGAATCCACACGAGAACATTTAACATGTTATTCAGTTTTTTTCAGCTTTTCTTTTATTCGATAGCACTGGCTGACAACCGAACCAGCTAATTCTAGATAGGTGTACTCAGATGAATCATTACACATTTTGGATGTTTTAATGTAGATGGGGCAGTCCTTCCGTATTGTAGTGGCTTACTAGAGGTGGGAAGAAGTTCTTTAGCCAAGCAGTAAAGTAACTAATATTATTGATAGAGCCCTAAGCCACTAAGTGATATCTAATTTTTAGGGTATATTTTATAAACATTGTTATTGTTTGAACAAAAGCAAAAACCCCTCTTCTGTCAAGTCCGGCTCATAACCCTGAGGGATGGAATAGAACAGCCCCTTAGGGTTCTCAGGGCTTTAATCATTCTGTAAGCAGACTGCTGATCTTCCTCCCATAGAGCCGTTATTGTGGTCAGCAGCCTGAAGCCTGACCCACCCCACCACCTGGGCTCCTTATATATTATCGTGTGGGACACTTAATCGTTTGCCCGATTTGGATTATGTGACTATTAATTCATTTTGTTTGGGAATAATTTTGCCAAATGAGACTAAGTGTCCGCTTCATGGTAAGAGTTGGGCTGCTAACTGCAAGGTCAGTAGTTTGAAACCACCAGCCCTTCCACGGGAGAAAGGCTGAGCTCTCTACCTCTGTAGAGAGTGATAAGGGACAGTTCTATGCTCTCCTTTAGGGCCCCCGTGAATTGGAATAGACTCAGTGGCAGTGAGTTGGGTTCGGGTGACCTGATAGGCCTTCCTGGCTCGTTATTTTAACTGCTTTGCTCTGGGTCTTTCACAGAAGCCTGCTGCATCACAGAAGCTGGAAGTTCTGATGTTCCGTTGCAAGCACAATGGACAGTCTTGACTTGACTGGTAAGAACAGCACCAACGGTGCAGCTTACTCACGAGTTGAAGCAGTGAGGTGGTTAAGAACGGTGTGCTCTCAGCGTCCATCTCCACGCTTCCCCACATTGATCGAGAAAGTGTGGCAAATGTGTTAAATTTTTTCTTTGTTCATCTTATTTTTTCAAAGTGACATTTTAGTCTCCATCATCAAGTATGTTAAAATTTCCTTTAAAATCATGAGTTTGTCTTCTCTACATAATGTTCTTTTATTGAAAATTAATTTACTTAAGTCCTGTATCTAGAGGTTGCAGACCTAAATGAATATCATATCAGCTTATTCACCCAAAGCTACTTTCTATAGTACTGTGACCTGAAAAGTGAATCATATTAAGCTATCACAGTTTTTCTTACCTTTTATAAATAATAGAGGCAGTTGTATAGCTACGCTTTCCAGTGTCTATGAAACTGTTTTAAATATGAGAAAACCATACAATGAAGAAAAAAGACAAGATTTAAAGTAAATAGAACAAACTCATAGATATTTTAACTCTATTCTGTATAGAAATTATTTTATTTATAAAGCTCTAGGTTTAGGGGGAAAACATTTTAAAGTACACTAATTAAAGTAATTTAAAATATAGTACACACAATCAAATATGTAATAGTATTTTGAAACTAACCTTAATAATGATTACTCAACTGCACAGAATTTTCCTAATCTGAAAATGAAATGTGTGCTTGCTTGTTTTATTGATGTGTGGAACTTTATAGTGAACTGATAATTTATAAGACTCAGGGAACTGAATGAATGAAAATGAACAAGTTGAGTATTTATTAATAAGTTGTTATTTTTAGGAAGTGATCAGTTCTTTAACTTTCTGATTGTGAAGTAATCTCAAAGCTTTTACTTTCGAAATATCTTTTTTTCTGTTACTTTATTAAATTTGTGTAGAATACCTATCTGTCTTCCTGGTTTAGTTAGCACCTGTCTGAATGTAGCCTTATGATTTGAGCATAAATGTAAGGCTTATAAGCCACCTTTTTGAATGACATTGTCTACAAGTGTGTACATAGTGAAAATGAATTCAAGTTGGTTTATAAATATGTTCTTAATATAGAATATTTAAATAATAATGGACTATTAATGCCAGTGAGGAGACGTAATTGTCAGCCCTTCTTCTTTCTCCGCAAAACTAGCCTAAGTTAAAAGTACCACTTCTGGATTCCAGCAGGTCAGTTGGAGTACAGGATCCCTGGTGGCGCCATGGTTATACATTGGGCTGCTGACTGCCAGTTCAGCAGTTCGAAACCACAGGTGCCTCACAGGAGAAAGATGAGGTTTTCTACTCCCTTAAGAGTTCATTTCAAAAAATAAATAAATAAAAGAGTTAGTTTCAGAAGCTCACGGGCAGTTCTACCTTGTCCTTCAGGGTCACGGTGAGTCAACCCAATGAGTTTTGAGTTAGCGTACAGTTAACTATGGGTATAGAAGGTCAGCAGAACAAACGATGGAATCGTCGAACGTTGAAACCAAAATTCCGTAAGTTCACAATTGTTCCTTCACAAGGGAGTTTAAGCATAATAAGGCTTATGGAAAATTACATTTGTGGCAGTGTTTTAAATTTACTGAGCTCTTAAAAGTGCAGTAGGATACTGTATGTGACCTGTTTAAGAGACTACACCCTGAGCATTCTTTCGTATAGCAGTCTTGATTAATAACTTATTCTAATAAGATGTGTTTCTTAACTAGGAATAAACTGACAAGAATTCAAGTTGCTGATAAAATTTGAGTGCTCGATTGGTGTTGAGTTAGACGATATGCTTCTGCTTTTACATACATATTTATATGCATATTTAAATATAGTATTAGCTAAGAAACTTTTTAAAAGGTGTCATGCAAAACCAGAAGTAATTTAAAAAACAAATACTGGATGATGTTGCTTAGTAAAAGATGGCAGGCTCAAAGAAATCAGGAGAAAAGACTATTAGTCTACATAGGCAAAAGCAAAGCATCCTTTTGGAATCAATGGATTCTTCAAATCTTAGTGTCTTATACTAGTGAAGTTTTATTTCTTACTCTGGTCAGTCCCCCTTTTGAGTGTGTTGTTGCTCTGTTCCATATCCTTTGTGTTCCTGGACTCGAACTGAAGGATACACCTTTCTAGAAGAGACAAGCATTGTGGCAAGAGGGAAATGGTATTGGGGGATCCAGGGTTCTTAAAGGAGCTGCTTGTATATGGCATGTGTCACTTCCATTTGTAGCTCATTGGCTAAAGCATGTCACATTACTAATTCTTATGCTGTGGCGTAAAGATAATTCTTCTCGTTAAAAATGACCTTTAAGATATGACAAAATAATAATAATTTATAAATTATCAAGGGTTCACGAGGGAGGGGAAAAAATTGAGCTGATACCAAGGGCTCAAGTAGAAAGCAAATGTTTTGAGAATGATGAAGGCAACAAATAAATGTACAAATGTGCTTGACACAATGGATATATGTATGGATTGTGATAAGAGTTGTACGAGCCCCCAATAAAATGATTTTAAAAAAAGACCTTTCAAGAAGGGGGACAGCAAAAAGCTGATGGTATTGGTGGTGGCATAGTGACTATTTTAGTTGTAATTTGTATAATGCCATTTTGTTGCTCTTGTAGAGAGAGTTTGCATAGACCATATTATTAAAAGATTTCAAGAAGCCCTACAGTAAATCAATCTGTTTAAATAAAGTGTTCGCTATATAAAGTGTGTAAACTGAAGTCTAGTAAATGAATTGCTTATCTGAGATCTTCTAAAATTATTTGATCATAAACCCTTATGTAGTTATATGGAACACAGCCATAAAACCTTATGTGTGACAAGGTTTAAGAAATGAAGGATTGATACAGTTCCATAGTTACTTGATTTTTTTCAAACTTTAGAACTTTTTACTATGCAATCTGGGTTTCTAGTGTATATAACTGGCTAATATACCTGTTTTATGAACATCCCCCAACCCCAAAAAACAAAACACCCCAATCCCCCAACTCAGTGCCATCAAATCCATCCTGACTCAGAGTGACCCTTTGGGATGAAGCAGGAAATTCTGGGGCTGAGAATCTTTATGAGAATAAAATGCCTCATCTTTCTCCTGAGGAGCTGTGGGTGGTTTTCAACTACTGACTTATAAGCTGGCAGCCCAACAAATAACCCACTATGTTACTAGAGTTCCCTATTATTTTATAAATAGTTGCAAAATAAGTTAAAATCACTGCAGACTGGATTCTCAGACAGAATTTGAGAAGGGAAACCACAATACTCTTAATAGTTCCTTACCTATGTCTAATAGGTTGTAGAGCTCTGACAAATGTCCTCGAATTTGATATGAGAAAATGGTACTTTGCTTTTTCCAGTCGTAGTAAACTCATCTTTTTACCAATTCTAGCCAATTGCCTTTGACTACTGAAGAGTAATTGCAAGGATCATGCTAGAGATAAAGAATGCAGATTCAGTAGGGAGTTTAACAACTGTATCCCATTCATTCTTCCGGGCTGCTCCATCTGAGGCTAGACTCACTACACAGTGACTTTGCATTGTTTTCTCCTAGAAAAATGCGAATCCCATGGAATTCCAGCAAATGCTAATTTGATGAATCATTCCTACTGCCATGGAGTTGATTTTGACTCATAGGCAACTCATAACGTGTTTCCAAGGCTGTACGTCTTGATGGGAGCAGACAGCCTCGAAATCTTGCACAACATTACAGCGAGACTTGACTATTTGGAGGATTTAAGCTTGAGGAGTGCATAAACAATGCTTTGGTGGTTCATAGTCTCTTAAGAATCATGGGAAAGGAACATGTATAGACATCTTTGTTTTTTAATGTATATAAAGTAACACTAGGAGGCAAGACAGTGAAACAAAGCATGGTTTTTTTGAAATAAGAGTAGCAGGTATAAATTCTACTTCTGACCCTGCTTAATTAAAGAATTTTGGTGATTATTTAATCTCGGATACTTTATTTTCTTCATCTCAACATGGAGATAATTTCTGCCTTGAATATGGTTCTAAGAACTAAAACGGAGTCATTTTTCCAAGTGCCTAATATAATACTTCACACATAGGAGGCACTTAGTGAGTGTTTGAAATGAACAAACAAATTTTCATCAATTGTCAAGGGTCCTGATTGTCCCATAAAATATGACTAATAGACTGATGATCTATATATGTGTGTATGTTCATTTATTTACATGTAAAGAGATGCCAGGATTTCTTTCATTTGCTCCAAAGAATACGTAAGAACGTGTCTGTTCCTCTTTACCCTTAACAGTAAGAGAAAGGATGAATCCTGAAGCAATGTTAGCCACCCTCTGATACAAGAATTCACCTTTTGCCGCTGAGCATGTAGAAGGCCTAAGGACAGAGTGGCCGAACATACTATTGATGAGGTCAGGATCAAGGCTCAAATAATATTTATTATAATTTTGAGTCAAAGTGTAAAACCAGGAGATGGCGCCACTGAGGTTCTCTTGACAATGGAAGTACATGTTGGTTGATTTCCAAACAATCAGCATTTCTGTGTAAAGACTGCTACATTATTATTATTATTTGCCCATGAAGGTTTGATTCATCTCGTTTTCTTAAAGGACTCTCTTGACAGTGTCCCCTTGTCCACAAAATAGTAATGTCTTTTATGGTTCAAAGCCCTTGTTGTTTGTCAAGTGATCAGGTTTTATGTGTTTAATATAATACCACACTATTAAAAACTATTTCTGTTTTTTAGAATTTTTGTCTTCAAATTGTTTCCAGCTGTTTCTTTGCAAGTGTGGAATGAGTGTAGCCCTCCGTGACTCGTCAGGTGGATTACTGGTAGAGAGTAACCGTCTTCAGAGATAGGAACTCTCTGTTTAGTGCTTTTGTGCTAACGCGTGAAATGAGTTAAGAAAGATAAACTTTTCATGGTTATTTCATCTAGAAATGAATATCTGTTTCTGTTTACTGCAACCTATCAGGCCAATTCATATTTTATCAGGGCATTGTTAGTTAACT